AGCACAATTAAGTGTTCTGGAATTTCCATTCTTTACAGTGTTATCCATAATTTGTTATGATCCACACAGTTGAATGCCTTTGCATAGCCGATTAAACACAAGTAAATGTCTTTCTGGTAGTCTCTGCTTTCAGCCAAGAGCCATCTGACATCAGCAATGATATCCTTTGTTCCACGTCCTCTTCTGAATCCGGCTTGAATTTCTGGCTCTTCCCTGTCAATGTACTGCTATAACCACTTTTGAATGATCTTCAGCAAAATGTTACTTGCATGTGATATTAATGATACTGTTTGATAATTTCCACAATCTGTTGGATCACCTTTCTTTGGAATGGGCACAAATATGGATCTCTTCCAGTCAGTTGGCCAGATAGTTATCCTCCAAATTTCTTGGCAGAGATGAGTGAGCACTTCCAGCGCTGCATCCATTTGTTGAAACATCTCAACTGGTAGTCCGTCAATTCCTGGAGCCTTGTTTTTTGCCAATGCCTTCAGTCAGCTTGGACTTTCTCCTTCAGAACTATCAGTTCTTGATCATATGCTACCTCCTGAAATGGCTGAATGTCAACCAATTCTTTTTGGTACAGTGACTCTGTGTATTCTGTCTTCTTCTGATGCCTGCATCATTCAGTATTTTCTCCATAGAATCCTTCACTACTGCAACTCGAGACTTTCACTTTTTCTTCAGTTCTTTCAGCTTGAGAAATGCCAAGTGCGTTCTTCTCTTCTGGTTTTCTAACTCCAGGTCTTTGCATATGTCATTATAATACTTTACTTTGTCTTCTCAAGCCACCCTTTGAAATCTGTTCAGTTCTTTTACTTCATCATTTCTTCCTTTTACTTTAGCTGCTCTACGTTTAACAGCAAATTTCAGGGTCTCCTCTGACATCCATTTTTGTCTTTTCTTTCTCTTTCCTATCTTTTTAATGACCTCTTGCTCTCTTCATGTGTGATGTCCTTGACGCCATCCCACAACTCGTAGGGTCTTCTGTCGTCAGTGTGCAATGTGTCAAATCTATTCTTGAGATGGTCTCTAAATTCAGGTGGGATATACTCAAGGTCATATTTTGGCTCTCCTGGACTTATTTTAATTTTCTTCAGCTTCAGCTTGAACTTGCATATGAGTAATTGATGGTCTGTTCCACAGTTGGCCCATGGCCTTGTTCTGAATGAGGATGTCAAGCTTTTCCATCGTCTCTTTCCACAGACGTAGTCGATGTGATTGCTGTGTTTTCCATCCAGTGAGGTCCACGTGTATAGTGGTCCTTTATGTTGTTGAAAAAAGGTATTTGCAATGAATAAGTCGTTGGTCTTAACAAATTCTCTCATGCGATCTCTGGCGTGGTTTCTATTATCAAGGCCATATCTTCCAACTACTTGTCCTTCTTCTTTATTTCCAACTTTTGCATTTCAATCACCAGTAATTATCAATGCATCCTGACTGCATGTTTGATCAATTTCAGACTGCAGAAGTTGGTAAAAATCTTCAATTTCCTCATCTTTGGCACTAGTGGTTAGTGCATACATTTGAATAATGGTCATATTAACTGGTCTTCCTTGTAGGGTATGGATATTTTCCCATCACTGACAGTGTTGTTCTTCAGGACAGTTCTTGAAATGTTTTTTTTTTTTTACGATGAATGTAACCATTCCTCTTAAGTTTATCATTCCCGGCATAGTAGACCACATGATTGTCTGATTCAAAACAGCCAATACCAGTCCATTTCAGCTCACTAATGCCTAGAATATAGATGTTTATGTGCTCCATTTCATTTTTGACAACTTCCAATTGTCCTAGATTCATACGTTGTGCATTCCACATTCTGATTACTAATGGACGTTTGCAGCTGTTTCTTCTCATTTTGAGTCATGCCACATCAGCAAACGAAGGTACTGAAAGCTTGACTCCGTCCACGTCATTAAGGTTGACTCCGCTTTGAGGAGGCAGCTCTTCCCTGATCGTATTTTGAGCCCCTTCCAACCTGAGTGGCTCATCTTCTGGCACTATATCAGACAATGTTCCACTACTATCCGTAAGGTTTCCACTGGCCAATTTTTTCTCAGAAGTAGAACTCCAGGTCCTTCTGCCCAGTCAGTCTTAGTCTGGAAGTCATAAAGATTACAGCCAAGAAAATGCTATGGGACAGTTCTACTCTGTAACACACGAGGTCGCTGTGACTAGCAATCAACTTGACGGCAACAAACAACAACATAATAACAATAACAAACGTAACAAAAGCTAACATTTATCCAGCCCTGCTGGCGCAGTGGTTAAGAGCTGGACTTCTAACCAAAAGGTCAGCGGTTCGAATCCTTTGAAACCCTATAGGGCAGTTCTACTCCGTCCTATAGGGTTGCTATGAGTCAGAATCGACTCCAGATAAGTTTGTTTTTTTGGGTTTTTTTTGGGGGGGGGCAGTTTACTGTTTGCTTCGCTCTTGGCTAATTTGCTTAGATGGGTTACTTAATTTAATCTTATGGTGTCCTATGAGGTCAGTGCTGTTATCCCCATTAACAGAAGAGGAAAGTAAAGCTTGGAGGGATGAAGCAGCTTGCCCAGCTCACACAGGTAGAAAGCAGCAGAGGCAGGATTTGAACTCAGGCAGTCTGGCTTCAGAGCCTACCCACTTAAGTATGATATTTAGTCTTAGGTGTGGCAAACCTTTCTTAAGTACCTGCTACATTAGACTATCTGAGAGGCAAGAAGTACAGAGGTAAGTAGTACTAATAATACAAAGGAGACAATAGAAATGATACTTTCTCAAGCCACTCTGACACCTGTTTGGCCATAAGAGTTCGTGTCTGAAGGCCACAGTTCCCCGGTGGCCATGAGTAGGCAGCCAGGAGCCTCACGATATGCCTGGCTTTCCTGTCAACAAAGCACAAAGAGACCTCAGGCCAGAGGGCCATCTGCCTGGCCACTGTCACAGGTTCAGATGACAAGAATACCTTCACAGAGGGGAGAACCATGACCACCAAACCGTGTCTGCATCTGGCCCCCGAGACGCCCTTTCTGCTGAGGGTGAGCACATGCGGGTGGGCAGGGCTTGTGAAAAGAATGTCTGGATCTTGCAGTCTTAGTTCAAATAACGGGCCTGATATTTCCACAGTGACCCACTTACAACCAAAGCAGAAGTTTTTTTAAGCATTTGGCAACCCAGGACCTGGTGAATTCTATGGATTACTAACTCTCTCCCCAGAAAAAAAACTCTTACATGTAAAACTTCGGGTTACATTTCAGGACATCTTAGACTCCTAAGATTCATTTATTGATTAACAAATATTTATTAATTGCCTACTATGTGCCAGGAAGCATTGCTGGTTCAGTGGTAAAATTCTAGTCTTCCATACAGGAGACCCGGGTTTGATTCCCAGCCAATGCACCTTATGTGCAACCATCTCCTCTCAGTGGAGGTTTGCATGTTATTATGATGCTGAATAGGTTTCAGCAGAGTGTCCAGACTACAATAGACTAGAAAGAAAGGCCTGGCAACCTACCTCTGAAAAGCAGCCAGTCAACACCCTATGGATCACAATGGTCTGATCTGTAACCAATGATGGGGACAGTACAGAACTGGGCAGCATTTCTTTCTGTTGTGCATGGGATTGCCGTGAGTCGGGAGCTGACTCAGCAACAGCAAAACAATAACTATGTGCCAGGCACCATGGTGCTAGGAAGATAAGTGTGTGGGGAGGAGGGATAGACAGGCCCTGCCTTCCCAAAGCCCGGAGCTAGAAGGGAAGTCCAATGGTTAAACAATCACCACGAACAGCAACAAGGGCCACGGCAGACAAAGTACAGCGAGCCCTGGAGGCACCAAGAAATCGTTCCTGAGTACCTGATATGGAGTTGAGGCCTAAATGGTGAGTAGAAATTAATTAACCAGGGGAAGAGGAGAGGAAAGTAGAGCAGGAAGAAGGAATCCCAGAGAAGACACCCAAAGAGGGAGGCAACAAGTGAACACAGCTGTAAGATGGCGGGCAGGAAAGAGAACCGGTGTGGAGAGTGGGCCAGCCTTGTTAGCTACTCTGCAGGGTGCGGGTTTTATCCTGACGGCCACAGAACGTCTTTGAAAAGTTGGAAGCAGAGGAGTGCGCTTCCAGAAAGTTCCCCTTGGCTGAGGTTAGGAAGATGGACTACAGTGGGGTGAGACCAGACGCAGGGACCCCACGGGGTCCATATCTCAGGGGAAAAGCTTCAAGCTCTAGAATGCTAGTGGCCCAAACTCTGTGGAGATGCCCCCCACACTGTCCTAACAAGCTAGCTGGAACAATTCCCACTGAGCCAAATGGAGACGTTTAACCCAGTGCAGATGAGACCCGAGCTGATCAGTCAGATCAACGTTAGCCCAAGAAGAAAACCCACAAGTCTGAATGCTCTGACACTTGTTCTCAGTCTGAGGCATTTGGACAAAACTTTGTTGGCTCTTCTAGAAACACGTTGACCCATTCAGATGCAAACCCCACCCCTTCTGCAGTCCCTTAGAGTTCAGTGTGCCTTCAATGGACCAATGTGTCATATCTGCTCATAAATAACTCCTTTTGCCTTTGTGTGTGGTGCTAAATAGCTACATGTGTGATAGAGGTCTCTCCAGATCTCAGCTGCCCAGCTGACTTTTAGTTGCTCTTCAAAGGTCACCTTCTCCCTTGAAGCCCCAGGACTCCAAAAAATGCTGATACAGGTTCACGTAACCCTTACTTTCCTTTAAACTTGACTTCTCTGCCAGATAGCACATACCCTGAGGACAAGGATTTTATCTTGTTCATCTCTGTATTCCCAGTTCCTAACACACACACAAACACACAATAAATGCTATCAGATGGATGGACGGATGGATGGATTTCTTCATATGCTGTACGGGTTTCCAACCAAATAAATATATAAATTAATTAAATCAACATGGAGTCATCCACTGCTCTTTAAGTGCTTTAAACTGCCGCCCAAGAGTTCTCAAGGTAAAACACTCAAAGAGATGCTAGCTTGGCATCTTCAAGACTCACCTCATTCCTTCCGCAGCCATCTTATCAAGGTGGGCCGTGTCCTTTGTTTCTGCCCAGTTCGCTCCCAGGTCACCCCACCCCATGTCATCTGCCAAAATGATCACGAAATTTGGTTTCTGGCCTCCAGTCTTCCCACTGAAGCGAAAATCCACAAGAGGGTAAAAAAATCCCAAGAAATTCAATCCCACTATCAAAACCTTTAGAAAAAGCTGGCCCATGGTGGTAAGGAAAGCGTTCCAGTTGTCTGGAGTGATGGCAAGCCACCCCTAGAGATGATTCTGAGAGCTCCCTTCTGCTCACTTTCAATGTAGGATGTCCTTGGAGAGCAACAGTGGGGTTTGCAGGAAGATAGGGTATCAGTGGGAGCAGCAGTGGGGGTGGCAGTGATGGCTATAGTGATGGTGGGGGCTACAGAAATGATGTCCCCATTTGAAATCCTGATTCAGGAGAGTGAGGAAATTTACACCCCTGTATTTGACTTAACCCTCTTCAGTAAATGTTATCCCACCAGCAGCGTACAGCTCAGTAGGATGACTGATTTGTGCATCAGTTAGGCCTCAGTGTCAACAACTGTTCTTTTTCACTTGGGTTCTATGTACCATTGCACAGTTAATTTATCACGGCCACTTAGAAAAGGACCCTTCTGTGTCAGCGATATTGGAGCCGTAGCACAAGCCTTGCATCTGTTTGGGATTCCAGCTGGCGGCTGCAGGATAAATTCTCGCATCTGCAGAACACCTGGATGTTCTAGAAGCCGCAGACGGCCCCAAATGGGTTTCTAAGTTCCAGATGGCTCAGGGCTTCATGTTTCTGTAAGGTTTCCTGAAAGAACAAAAATTGACAAGAAAACAGTGTTAAAAATGCCAGTGCAGCTGTGTTTTACTCAGTAGCTTAGGAAATAATCACTTTTCCATGCCAACAGATGTTTTCCTTTTTATTTGAATATTCAACTGGTTCTTCAGTTTCTCCACCTGAAAAACAGTGAGGATAATAATATTTGCAATGGACCTATAGTCACAGGGCTGGAAGCAACATTAGAGATTGTCTGTCTCAACCCACTCACTGCAAAGATGAGAATACTGAGGGTCAGCATTCTGGACGGAGTGACAGCCAGCACCCAGCTCTGCTAAATCCCAGGCCAGTACTTCCCAAACTCAACCACCACCATGCTTCTCTGATTCACAAAGAATTCCCAAGCTAGCTGTGGCCTTATCAAACCCACTGTGACATGACTCTTTATAACAGGAACATTGGAAACTACTATTTCTATATAACATTGTTGATAAAAATTAATTTTGGGAAAAAAAGAAATGTTAAAAAAAAAAGCTAATGGAGGAATATGAGGGTTCATTGTGAAATTTAATTTTGCTTTATGTTTGGAAAAGTTTCGCAATAAAAATTTTTAAGAAAAGGAAATACACCCCTTTAAATCCTGACAGTATAATTTTTACTAAGAAAATCTAAAGACCTGCTTGACCAGTGCTTCCCACACTTGAAAGTGCCTGTGAGTCAGCTGGGGAGTTTATCAAAATGCAGCTTCAGTAGGTATGCCTGGGGCCTGGGATTCTGGACTTCTAACTAGCTCCCGAGTGAGCCCTATCTGCTAGTCCTTGGGCCACACTTTGAATAGCAAGATGCTAGAAAACACAAACATCATGACTCTGGTCTTAGAAGAAAAGAGGAACTGCTCAACCTAACTGAAAATGACTCAGCTTCGGTAGACAAGCACAAAAGCAACAAATCAGAAGTGGTTTTTTGTTTCGGTTGTTTTTTTGTTTTTCAGATTGAGTTTTGAAAGACAGGAATTGAAGGTTATACTTTCAGCTGGAGGTTGCAAATAAAGCAGAGGATAAAACCATATTACTCCTAGTTCACTTCAAAGCCCTAAATTTACAAGGTTACTAAGGAGACAGGAACACTGGCGGTGCAAACTGTTAAGCACTCAGCCGCTAACAGAAAGGTCGGTGGTTCAAACCCACCCAGTTGCTCCATGGGAGAAAGACCTGGCAATTTGCTTCTGTAAAGACTGTTGTTGCTCTTGTTGTGTGCCGTCGAGTCAAGTCAGACTCATAATGACACTATCAGACACAGTAAAGCTGCCCCACAGGGTTTTCTTAGGTGTAATCTCTATGGAAGCAGACTGCCACATCTTTCTCCTGCAGAGCGGCTGGTGGGTTCGAACCACAGACATTTTGGTTAACAGCCAAGCACTTAACCATTGCGCCAACAGGGCTCCTTAAAGATTACAGTCAAGAAATTTCTATGCGGAGAGGTGAGGCCAAGATGGCAGAGTAGTCAGATGCTTCTGGTGGACCCTCTTACAACAAAGACCAAAAAAAAACAAGTGATTCAATTATATATGGCAATCTGGGAGCCCTGAACATCAAAGGCAGAGTTGAGGAACCAGACTGAGTGGCAGTGGGTGGGAGAGACAGTTCAGAAGCAGTGAGGAGTTGCCAGACCTGACCAGGCAAGAGCCTGAGCCCTTCAGGAATGAGCAGCTTGGGGGTGAGCAGTGAGGAAGGCAAGCAGTCATGCTCCGGAGGCGTGTTTTCTGCACCAGTAGAGACCCAGCGCCAGAGAGTCTACATGGCCACCAAGAACCAGCGAGAAGCAGCCCCTGATCCGGCGAAAGATAAGTAATTGTGTATGGCCTACCACACGGGTCAAAAACATCCCCCTTAGGGAAAAACCTCTCTCCAAGTTACCTCCCTGCTCCCTGCTCTGCACTGGGTCCCGGACTGGCTCAGCAATTGCCGAGTCCCCTGGGCTGGAAGTAGGATCTGTTACATGCCCGGAGCCATTTTCCCAGCCTTGAAGAGTGAACAAATTAACAAACAGGGGAAAAAATAAACTGCTGGCTCCCCTAAGCCAGGAACTCAGAGTAGGCACAGGTCCTTTGCCTAGACACAAGCAGAAGGGATCCACAGACTTTGAGTGCCTCTTCCCCTGCATAGACTTGTGTGGGCCCATCTCAACAGCATAGGCCCTCATTACTGCAATACAACAGGGTATATACCTGAAGTCTAACTTCAACTGTTTCAGCTGTGATGTGGCAGGTTCGTGACATTTGACACTGCTCTGCCCATTAAGCAGGGTCTTCACCTACTCTCATCAGGGGCCTGAGGACTGGTGGCTCCACCCACGCCACCTGGCCACCTGTGATAGGGCCCCATGAATAAGAGGTGCCCCCCAGTCCTAACAGACAACAGCATTAGGTGCTCAGAGTCTGGCTGCAAAACCCACCCACCTACCAACTCTAGGGTACAGGGACACACCTTCCTCCTGGACACTCAGGGGTGGCCATCAGCCCCTTGCCTTGCTCAGAGTGTGTCCCCCTGCTGCAGCCAGAAGCCTGTGCCTACACCAATCACCCATGCCTGTCTAGGACGGTAAGTGAGAGCCTACACTACACACTTGCTGGCTATCTACCTGGGCACCTGAGCTGAATCCATACAGGAGGAGTGGGCAGACTCCGGAGCTCACATACCTAGTAACAGATCTAACCACCTGGTGACAGAACATTAGAGCTTCAAAGCTGCCAATAATCAAACTAGCTCATACAAGCAACCTATTTGGGCATATCAAAACAAAAATAAGAAGCTAGGACACAGTAAGCCAACATAAAATAAATAAATATAATAACTTATTGATGGCTCAAAGACAACAGTCAACATCAAATCACATAAACAGGCAATCCATGATGGCTTCAGCAAGCTCCCAAAATAAAGAATCTAGAAATTTTCCAGAGGAGGAAAATTTCTTGGAATTACCGGACGCAGAATACAAAAGATTAACATACAGAACTCTTCAAGAGATTAGGAAGGAAATTAATGAAAAAGCAGAACATGCAATAGAGGAAATCAAAAAGATTAGAGAAGAGAATAATGGCAAATTTAACAGGCTGCAAGAATCCATAGACAGCAATCAGAAACCCAGAAGATTAACAATAAATTTCCAGAATTAGACAACTCAATAGAAAGTCATAGGAGCAGAATTGAGGCAATGGAAGTCAGAATTAGGTGGATTGAAGATACAGCACTTGACACCAACCAATTTGAGGAAAAATCAGATAAAAGCATTAAGAAAAATGAAGAAACCCTAAGAATTATATGGGACTCTATCAAGAGGAATAACCTACAAGTGATTGGAGTACCAAAACAGAGCGGGATAAAAGAAACTACAGAGACAATTGTTGAAGATTTGTTGGCAGAAAACTTCCCTGATATTGTGAAAGATGACAAGATATCTACCCAAGATGCTCATCGAACCCCACATGAGGTAGATCCCAAAAGAAGGTCACCAAGATATATTATAATCAAACTCGCCAAAACCAAAGATAAAGAGATAATTTTAAGAGCGACTAGGGATAAACAAAAAGTCATCTACAAAGGAGAGTCAATAAGAATAAGCTCAGACTACTCAGTAGAAACCATGCAGGCAAGAAGGCAATGGGATGACATATTATAAAGCCTTGAAGGAAAAACACTGCCAGCCAAGAATTATATATCCAGCAAAACTTGTCTCTCAAATATAATGGCAAAATTAGGGCATTTCCAGATAAACAGAATTTCAGGGAATTTGCAAAAACCAAACCAAAATGACAAGAAATAATAAAGGGAGTCCTCTGGTTAGAAAACCAATAACATCAGATAACAACCCAAGACTAGAACACAGGACAGAGCCCCCAGATATCAACCCAGATAGGGAAGTCACAAAAGTAAATCAAAGCTAAAACACTAAACATAGCGAAACAGATGTCAATATGTAAAAGGTGACAACATTAAAACAAAAAAAGAGGGACTTAAAAAATGTAGACTTAGATTTTTCATATGGAGAGGAAGTCAAGGCGATATAAAGAAATGAAAGACTGGTATCAACTAAGAAAAATAGGGGTAAGTATTAAGGTAACCACAAAGGAAACTAACAATCCTACAAGTTAAAATAAAAAACTAGAAAAATATAAAGACTCAGCAAACACAAAATCAA